ACCATTTTTTAGGTCATTTTCTAAGGATAAGTTGTAAAAGAAAATAATTGGTTACAATGCTAAGGTTGTTACCTACATACATACTGTACATGCATACATACATGTATGAGTATTTCTAACTCAGTTTTGTTCTGTTGGCTGTCAGACAAGCATGCAAAGATACACCTTTTCTCTTCTGATTCCATCTTCCCTTAATGTTGCTGCTTTCTGTCTGTTCCCACCTCTTCTCTCCTTTGCTGCTTGCCTGCAGTTCCTGAAGGAGTCAGAGGGAGAAACAAAGATCTTAGATTTAGAAGGAGCCTCACATGATCATCTGGTTACCCCTCCCCCATATCATTCTCCACTGGGTCCCAGAGTAATTAAAGAACTCCCTCAATGTCACACAGTTATGACAAAGAGGAAATGACACGCTCTGCTACATCACCTCTTTCTATTTCCTTCTAGGAGTTTATCACTATCTGAAATGATCTAATTCACTTATTAATTTACATATCTATTGACAGTCTTCAAATACTGGAATATTCATCCATGAATTTAAGGACCTTAACTATCTTGTTAACACCTGTGTCCTCAACACAATGTTTAGCATGTCATAGGCATTCATACATATTTATTGAATAATATACTAGAATACTGGTTTCTTGTTTCCAATATACACTTTTATAAACTACAACCAAATTATCCCATGAAAAGTAGTATAGAATAATTAAGGATGTCTGACTTGTTCTAATTCACACAACAGTGAAAAGATGCCCTCCATCATTTTCCTAAATCTCTTCTTCCTCCGAAATTTAGTTCTTCAGAATGTTATGATAATAACATATAAAATCTAATAATTTAATGTCTTTAACAGATTTCACATTTCAGTAACATAGACATTTTTAATGATTAATATATCTGCTGGAGCTCTGAAGACTGGTTTTTGGAATCAAAGACTTGGAAAACTAAGGACATTTCTTCCCCCATCCTCCTTCAGAGAAATCAGATGCTCAAAATTACATGTAAGCATAAACACTTTAATGTAGTTAGACAAGCTTCTCTATTATCAGTTTGCACTTCACACTGTTTGCTTTTAGATGTGGGTAAAGAAACAGAATTTTTAAATCAATACAATATAACTGGTTTATTTATGAATTCATAAATCCATTTTGTGACTAAATAAACTCTGCAATACGTGCACTTAAGTTATTTGCTATGACAATACTCCATACCGGTGTTTCCAAAACTTCACTCAATGGTGTATCACTTTTGTGATTTTGAGGTACCACTTCTACTATGGTTATTTAACATTTTTTAAAAAATTGATTTAAAATACAATAACACTTTAAGCCTGTCTCATCCTAAGCAACAATAGATTAGGGGCTGGTGATTATGTATCTTTTCTAATATATAATAGTATTTATAAATATAAAAAGTAAATATAAAAATAATTTGTCCATGGCTAACCTAAAATGTTTCCACAATATAGAAAACATTGGCATAATTGAATTAAAATTTAAAGTGGATGGTGTAAACTTTTTTGAGAACAGAAAATATTCTTGAGAATTTTGTTTTTTATAAAGATGCTTACCTTGCACAACTCTGGGGTTACAAAATCACTGTTTAATAGAAAGAACTCTGGCCTAGAATCCTGCTCTGCCCTTCTACACTCTCTGCTTCAGTTTCTCATGTTTAGGGGGACACAAAAAATACTCATCTTGTTACTGACCAGGATTCTTGGCCTCCTTCATCAATAGAAATTGATCAGAGGCCAGACAAGAAATTCAGGCAAGGCTTTATTGGGCCACCTGCTGTGGCAGGGTGCAGAGAGAACAAACAACAGGTTCCCTTTCTTGCTGGCTACGGAGGGGGTTGAGCTTGTTCCTTATATGGAATGAGGGTAGGGATGTGTCCAGGGGTCCGGCCAGAGGGGTGGCTTAGGTGTTTTGCCCACCCCTTAGGTGGTGGTGTGTGTAGGGGGCATGTGCAGTACCCGCTTTTGCTCCAGGCTTTTCAAAAGTGGCAGTTGGGTTTTTTGGTCTCTTTGTATCTTTTGTCCAGAATTTGCCCCAACTGCCCAGGCATGCAGTTGTTTTTAGTCCCATACAGTTTCTTTGTATTTTGTTGCTTGAGGAGAGGTGTGTCCAGTTGCAGGCACTGCAGCACTGCAGCAAAGGGTCCCAGGTCCCAGCCTGTCTCAGACTTATCCACCTGACTTAATCTTTCTCAGATTCAGCGTACACAGTTGAAGAAATACAAGAGCGAGCGGCCAGGATGATGAGAAAAGATTGGGAAGAACTGGTGATATTTTATCACAGAGAGGAGACCCCTTAGGAGATGACAGCAGAGTGTTCTTCAGTATCTGAACAGCTGTGCCATAGGAAAGGAGGTAAAGTATAGGAGAAGGAGAGAGTTTAACACACAAAAGAACAATTAGAGCTCCTTGGCTGGGTGTGGGGTTCAGCTGGAGCTATTCAAGAATTAGAGAAGCAATCAGTCACTTGTCTGTGCTGTTGGAGAGGATCATGAACTAGAGAAGGTTTGGATAGTCTCAAGTCCTTTCTCATTCTAGTAATAATAATTGCACCAGTTATTAAATGCTCATTATGCTGGGCTAAACATTTTATAGGTCTTTTCTTGTTTAATTTTCAAAATAATGCAATACGGGTAGGTATGATCGTACTCATTTTACAAATAGAGAGACTGAGTCTAAAAATTTGGTAGGTGGTGAATTTGAACCCAAGTCAGAGTGACTCAAATCCTGTCTACTAACTATTATATTATATTATAAATGTTGTCTGGAAAAGATAAAGGTTTTGTTTTGGTCAGAAACTCTCTTTGCCCATTCAGCCAAACTGAAGCCAAGTTGTCATCATGAAAAAAATTTTGTTGTAAACTGTAATTGTGTGAAAAGGAAACTGAAAAGCCATTATCTCAGCTGGTTTCCTTCAAATTTCTGAGAAAGTCAACACTTTTCCAAAGGAAAACTTATGCTTTTAATTGTGATCTCTGTGTTTTGAGAGTGGAGAACAAAATAAAAGAAACTAACATTTCTGAAGGAAAACTTATTCTTTTAATTTTCATCTTTTCATTTTTAAGAATGGAGAACACGATAGAAGAATCCAGAAGCCATTGTGTTTATTTCCCCATGTGATTTTTGCTGTTACAAAGTCAGCAAAAGCTTTTCTTTTGTTTGTCTGAATCCTTTTGAAAAAACATTTATAAAAATGTCTGTTCATGGGAAGGGAAGGGCAATTTTATTTTTTAGGGCCGCAGGGTATCTCAAATAATCTCAAGGGGTATCCGGGATGTTTTACATACACGAATAATTCAAAATCACTTAAAACAAATATATGTCTTAATTAGATTTTAAGTAGGGAGAAACTTTGAAAAATCAAATAAACAGTCACAGCAGGTGGTCTAGAAACTCCAGAAATTTTTGGTGAAACTGGTTTAACAAAAACAAAACAAAACAAAAAAGGCCAGGGCAAGGGAGGGAGAAGAGAAAGGAAGGCAGGGAGGATGAGAGGAAGGAAAGAAGCAAAGAAGGAAGGAAGAAAGGAAAAAAGAAGGAAACTTGGAATAAGTACTCATAAATACTTGAGATACTACTTATCAATGAGTTTTGCACTTATTTTCTTGGGGAAAATATACTAAGGAAAATTATCATTATCTCTATTGTATTGGCTTATGGATTCACGCATTTCTTTTAATCTCTATATTATAAAACTCACAGTCAAAATTAAAAACAGTACTTTTACTTTTTTGAGTCCTGATATTATGATCCCACAGTGGATTTTGCATTTGATTTTTTTCTTCCTATCTTAATTTACCTCTTTATTGACTTTTGAGAAATCTTTTCATCTTTAGTTTTTTAATCCATGAAACATTTGAACTTCACTAATATTATTAATGTGGGAAGCAAATTGGGTATTCCTCCACCTCCACTAAATTATGTGGTGTAGATACTTTACATTGAAATGCAATAAATAATTGTTCAGGATGCCAGAACTTTGAATTATCAAAAGCCATATTCAGTAAATACATATGGTCTTGGAAAACCTTGCTTTGTACTGATGCTTATCTTCTCTGCCAGTTCTGTAGGGGAGAAATTATCTTTCCTTTATTTTCATAACACCCAGCAAAGTGCCTTCCTAGAGATGAACCCATAAAAAATAGTTGTTGAATTAACGAATTCATGAATTAATGAAATTTCTTATCTTATGATAATAGGAGATTTATAAAATCTAATGATTCTTTAAAATGCAATAGGAAACACCCCATATTTCCAGTAATAGCCAAAAATAAGTGACAGGGGAAATTTGGCATATTTTATTTTAGATTTATAATTTTTCTTTCTTAATAACTAGTGGAAATGATGGAAAATACACCTCTCACAGCTTAAAAAATGAAGAGGAATCTGTGGTTCTTTAATCATTAATGTGTTGTTGGAGGGAAAAAGATGTTTAATATCTAAAGAGTAATACATTTTGATCTTTTGAATCAAGAAATCTGGCATTTCTCCATCATTCGGAAATAAATACCATGTACCATTCCGTATACAGCAACAGGATAAATGCAGATCTTAAAAGTTTCATTAAACATTCCTCTGTAAGTTAAACCCAGACACACACTCATGTCTAAATGTATTTAATATTTATTTTTTACTTTTAAAGTGATGCTATTTACATTTGACATTAGAAGGCAAATCTTATCAGTAGGACATCAGGGATTAAGCTGGGCAGTATTAAAGTTAGAACACTCACATGTTTGCAAATTTCTATGTTGTTAAAAAGAAAACCACTGTTGTACAATAAATACTTATTTTTTAATTGTAAGTAACATGGAACGATCTGTAGGTAGTTCTAAAGTTCCATCAAGGGGCGCTTCCCAGGAGGTGTATTACTACTTTGTGAGTGTGGAGAGCAGAGATAGAAGTCAAGCAGTGGTGTTCCATGGGATATTCAGAAAAGTTAATAGTTCAGTTATTCCCAAGAAGACTTCTTGCTGCAGACCCGTTATTAATGGTCCCACTGCTCTTCTCTCTCGTTCACGCCTTCTTCTTCTTCGGGGAATGCTGATTCATTCTGGCCTTTCATATGCTTAACCCCTGAAATTATAAAAATTATGCTCAATTAATTTCTGGCAGATTCACTGCTTTGCTGCAAGAGGTGAAGAAAATGAGTGGAACGTTTTCACTGGTGTATATGTGTTTTCTCCAAGGATCTCAACAATCTAATCTTATATAAACCTTTTAATTCACTGAGGAATAAAAACACACCCAGCCCAATTTCCATTCGAAACAGAATGTCTTTTATAGTAATTAAATTTTCTCCATTAAGAATTGCATCACTGCCTATTAAAAACCTGTTAACTAAAAATCTGCTCACAGGCTCTTACTGCCCCTCCTCAGGAGCGAGGAGGTGTGTGTGTGCAATTTCTGTAACTTTCAAACAACAAAAGAATCAGAATACTGTTAGTCTTCTTTAGGAATCAAAACATACAGGTTTGATTCTGAAACTTGTGTATTAAAAATTCTTCAATCACTTCCCCCAAAACCTACACAGAGGAAAACCATTGGCACACCTTTGCCTAATATACAGGCTATGTGACCTGGCCTCTCCCTACCTATCGGGCCTCATTTCCACCAGCCTTTCCTGCTTCCCCCTTTCACAGTAATTTATGCTTTAACAATACGAACCTGCTCTTCCACATTACAGGTCACTCCAGGCTCCCTCAAGCCTCCATGTCTTTCTCATTCTATTCTCTCTGCCGAATAGCTTCTTCCTACTCACCCACCTGATAACCTCCCACTCATCCTGATAGCAGCTTGCCTCCTCTGTGAAGCCTCCCCCAGTTCCCCAAGTAGACCTAGCTGGGTATTTCCCCCTGCTCTTGGATCACTTTCTCTTGTATCAATTACTTTATAGAACAGTATTTATTTACATATTTTTCTCATTAGAACAAACTTGCTGATGTCAGGATTATGGATGGGGTTTCACTTTGGGGTCCCAGGCACAGAGCCTGGCAAACAGTAGGTGCTCATTAATATTGATTGCATAAATGATTGATGGAATTAATGAGGTGACACTTTGGTATATGTCTTTGGCAGTTCCACAATAATGTATATTCAGATTTTTTTCAAAATTAACTCAGATTTGGAGTAAAAATCATAAGGCGACTACTACAATCATTACAAAATTATCTTTCATTTCACTTGGGTCTATTCTGTTATAACATCATACTAGCTGACACTCTGCATATAGTGATGCGTAACATGGAAAAGTTTATAGATTTTTATATTTTAGTAAATTGGTTTATGAGATTTTTCTAAATATTACTGAAAAACATTGCAGTTAGAATTGATAAATGCAAGGAAGTCACTGCTCATGTTTACTATGAAACAAAGGAACTAAAAAAAGGGGAAAAAAAGAGTGGATTTGCATGTATTGCAGTCAGCAACCTCAGAGTGCCATTTGGCAAGGAATGACACCCCTGGACTTGGATGATTATCTTGCAAAAATATTTGATAAGTTGTAATAATATTTAAATACAGTAATTTCATCTGCAAACACAGATCACTCACAATCACCATAGAGAGAATTTTGTTGTTGACAAGTGGAACTTATTTCATCATGCTATAGATTACACAGGAGAAAAAGAGGTCTAAATGCTAAGAAGGAAAGGGAGTTCAATGAGCATCCAATCAGTCACTCTGCCGGAGTCTTACATACCTGGGTCACTAAACCTCACAACTCCACGAGATAAATACCTAGACGGTGAAATCTAGACTTCAAGAAGATAAATGATTTGTTCAAGTTTACAAGGATAGTGTGGTTCTAAAAGAAGTTCTGACACATCATAGTCCCTCAATATAGACTGACTGACTGACTCACTGACTCACTGACTGACTCACTGACCAACTGACTGAGTGAATGAAGCATAAAGTTCCACTGTCAGGAGACCCCAACTCATTTTCACCTTTAGCTTTTTGGATGCTAACGTAGACTCACCTATCAATCTCTAGGATTTATTGTAGGTTTACAGTACCTACTAATCTGGTTCAAACCATCTTGGCATTCCCTCTGAAGTATTAAAGCATAGTAATCATTCAGCCGCTTGCCACTGTTTCCTGAGCTAAAATTGTCTGCACCACCCAGGGTTTGCAAAGGTTCTACTGCCTCCAGGGCTCATCCCTTTTATCCTCAAAGTAACTACAGAGTAATGCAGTTGTGTTCAGACAATTTTCCTTAAATTAGGTTTAACTTAATGCCAACATTGATTTGTCTATATGAGGGAGTCAAACATTTAAAAAAATGGTAACCAAATGTCCAACTTATTAAACCATTAATCATCCACTTCCCATACTTGACTATAGGTCTACTCACTTATTTATTTTATAATGATAACGGCCACAAAGTTATACGAGAAAGCCGTCTTTAAAGTAAAATCACTCACTTGAGCAAACCTTGGAACGGGCTTTTCTCGGTTTATTTGAGTGTGGCATTAACTATTGCCAGGTGAAAGATTTTGATGAGGCAGGAGTAGGTGACGTCACAAAGCTGTTCTGCCGAACCTCTCTACAGGACCACAGATTCCTTGGTTCCCAAAGCAGTTTACACTAACGTCATCTTTCCATTGGATAACGGGTGGTTGATTAATTTGTGTTTTGAATTTTTCTTTTTTCCTTTCAGCAATGTTTGTTTGGTTATAGATGCAATAAATGCTGAGATTAATGTGTGAACTCTGTGAGAACTGTCTAATAATTTTTCTCCCCACGCCCCTCCTCCTATCCCCAAACACACATATGCCTTGTATTTAAATTTTCTTTGAAGCTTCATTCAATATTTGAGTAATTCTGGAGGTGGAGGAAAGTAACTTGCTCTGGAGATGTTGGTGAAATTCTCAGATTCTCCTCTTCTGCCAAATGCTAACGAACACGCAGGAAAACACCTCACCTGCAAGTGAACTGATTCCCAGCATGTGGCAAAGGGCCTCCTGGAGCGAGAAAGACACAGCCAGCCCTGCACTCGGGCAGAAGGCAGAGGGATCCCCAAAATGCACAGAGGCTCTTTTCTCCATAACAAAATGAACATACAAGAAAAGGAGTCATATATAAGACAAGGATATGCGGTATGAATACATGAAGGAGTGAAGAAAATAGAGTTTGAGGAAAAGAAAGTAGACTGAGTAAAAGAAGGAAGGGAAAAGAAAGAAATGTTGCCCCTGCACAGAACGTTATACTCGTGCTCTTCTCCATTCTGTAGATCAGGAGGTTAAATGTGAGTTGGATGAAGTTGTAAAGTGACTGAGTGAAGAATTATGAATAATTAATCCCTAAAGGGAGGCTTACATTTGGCAAACCGCACATCAATATGTGTATCGATTAATTCAGAGGAGAAAAAGGCAGGTGTATCACATTTGTAGATGACATGATACTTGGAAGAAAAGATGACATGATGAGTGAAAAACTAGTATCCCAAAGAGCTGGAAAGATGGCCTAAGCAATTAAGGTAGAGGTCAAAGGGAGTTTTGTTTTTAGGAAGATTATTTTGGTTCTAAAAGATAGAGAATGAGGGCAACCTAGACTGAGTATAGTTAGGGATTCAGGTGACCACAATTTCAACACGACCCAGCAGAGTCACCTGTTTGTAGGAACAGAGCTCTTGGCAGTGTGGGTGGCATTTCTAACAGGAGAGGCAGCAGTTTAAGAGAGGAAACTTCTCTCTAACCATGTGTTGTTCAGACTTTTCTGGATTATGCTGCCCAATTCTGGATTCTGCATTTCAAGAGTTCCATTGAAGGAAGTAATTGAGATTAAAAGCAGTTTTATGAAATCTTTTCCAGAAGAATTGGATATGAAACTGCACTGTTTAGCAAAATTAAGAGAGGACAAAAGAGGCTGCCATTGAATTCCTAAAAGCCTGGAAAAAGAAATAAAATATATCTAAGTGGCAACTGAGAGCAGCAATAGTGTCAATAGCTGACATTTATGTGGTGAGGGCAGAGTACAGATCTTCCTAGATTTACAATGGGGTTACATTCCAACAAACCCATTGAAGATATCATAAGTGGAAAATGCGTTTAATACACCCACCCTACTGGACATCATAGCTTAGCCTAGCCTACCTTAAACGTGCTCAGAACACTTATATTAGCCTGTGGTTGGGCAAAATCATCTAACACAAAGCATATTTTATAATAAAGTGTGGCATATCTCATGTGATTTATTGGATACCATACTGAAAGTGAAAAACAGAATGGTAGTATGCGTACAGAATGGTTGGAAGTGTACTGTATTTGTTGTTTACACTCATTACCCTGTGGCTACCTGGGAGCTGGGCTCACTGCCCCGCCTGGCATCACGAGACCATATCCTACTGCACGTCACTAGCCCAGGAAAAGATCAAAATTCAAAATTCGAAATACGGTTTCTTCTGAATGCATATTGCTTTTGCACCATCGTAAAGGCAAAAAATCTTAAATCAAACCATTGTTAAGTCAGGGACATTTGTATGGCTCAATATAAAGAAGAAAATTTCTAAACTCTCTATGTTTGCCCAGCAATAAGCATGTGAGTGAGCTCCCCGTCACTGTGTGTGTCCAAGTCAAAGCTAAATTTCCATTTCAGGCGAGAAGGAGCCCTGGACTGAGTAGCAGGGCAGGCTAACAAGCTCACCAACCCTGGGATGCTATTCATATACAAAGGAGATCTTCTTTCCTACTGAAAATTTTGCTTTGCTCTGAGTACTATAAGTTACAAAAAAGTAATTCTAACTTTAAATGACTTAAGTGGCCCAAATCCACATTTTAAAACAATTCACATCGGGAGTAGCAAATATAAATGGTTTCTTTTTTTTTTTCAACCACATACTTTAGAAGTTTGAAATCATTCTAAAGTCCTCTGGGGAATTTGTGGATGTATTTTGAGAGCCTCTGACCCTCTTGGAACTCTATTTATACTTGTTTCTGTGCCTCTTCAGTGAAGAAGGTCCATAGTTTTCAGCAGAATCTCAGAGGGGTCTCTGACTCACAAATAGTTGTGAATATGAATCCTAGTCTAATCTCTTCACTTTAAAGATGAAAGGACAATTTCAGATGGCAAAGTGA